CGACGTGAATGTGAAAATGATACATTTTCTCCCCTAAGCTCGACTCTCCTCCATACTAAATACCGTTTATGAGCATATAGGAAACAAGATAACACCTCGAAATTTATTTATGGCAAAATGAATGTTCAGGGACGGAGGAATAAGTTGGCATGAAGACTGCTTTTGGCCTTGACTCTGTTTCCGTTTCATAGTCTTATTTACTGCTACCGCACGCGGTCCAGGTCTTCTGCTTCCCTTTGTCTTCAGGTCGGTGACTTGAGCGTCTCCTTTCACATCAGACTGTCTGGTTTCCGTAACCCCAGCTGTGTTACCTGTACGGGTGTGTGACTCTGGAGGCCGCTCAGCTTCTGGAAGCCTCTTGTCCTCATCCGTAAGTGGTGACAGCAGTCCCCATGTCACGGGAGTGCAGGGTGGAGATGACTGCTTCTGGACCTCTTAGCTCAGATTTGGATGCAAATTGCAGCCTGTGCGGAGCGGCTGTGGTTAGTAACTTTTCTGAGAGGTATGAGATGACTGCAGATTTCGCCGGTGAGCAGCTCCCGCTTGGTTCTTCTGTAATGTCTTTTTATTTTTGTTCCTAGGTTGAGTATCTTAACAACCTGCACCTTTAAATTTTAATGCCAATGATTTGCTGCCCCCTTCAGGTTAATGTGAAAAAAGCAGACCGAATCATTGCTGGTTGACTTTGCTAGATACTAATAGATAACCAAGTCATCTCAGTGGTCCTGAAGCCAAGTATGGGCATTGCCAAAGTCTTTTTTTTATTTTTTCTGAGACATTCATTTTTATAGATGACCTAATGGAATATTTGAATATCAGGTTTGGAGAGATGGCTCAACGGTTAAGAGCACTGGCTACTCTTTCAGAAGTCATGAGTTCAATTCCCAGCAACCACATGGCAGCTCACAACCATCTGTAATGGGGTCTGGTGCCCTCTTCAGGTGTGCAGGTGTACATGTAGATGGACACTCATACTCATAAAAGACTAATAAATAAAATAAAGTTAAAAAACTATTTGAATATCCCTTATCTCAAATTTTGGAGCTGCATGTATTTTAGATTTTTTGTTTTTGTCCTTGTTTGGATTAGGGAATACATGTGTGGACTTTACTGATTGAAAATGCTTGACTTGAAAATCCAATACCTAAAATTCAGAAAAAATTGCAATGTTTTTTATATTAAGTATTCCTACCCTGTGCCAGGATCCTTTTAGGTTTGTTTTAGAATTGAAGATTCCCACATACACTGGCAATTTGATACTGTGTTTATCTCCTTGCCTATTTAGACTTGCAAAATAATGTTTATTTAAGAGCATGGAAGAGCTTTCGCTATGGAAGGCAAAGTTTAATATTTGAATTCTGTTAGTACTCTTTGATTTGAGTCCTGTGTCATCAAGAACTTAGTCCTGAGGAGGCCATTAAGAGCCAATCAAATGATGATTTTAGCTTTGTGTTACGCTGGCTGATGGTGGATCACATGCTTGCTCTCCATCCTCAGTCCCATGTTCCCTTTGTCACATGGGAGCACACACAGGTCCTGCCCCCGACAATATGTGGCACAGTAGCACCCCACTTGACAGTGATTTGGCTGGTTTGGCTGCCATTGCAAAAGGTAGGCACCACCCCCATGGCGGGGTGCCTACCTAAGGGATGTGTTTCTAAAACAAGGAAGTGCGGGAAAATTTATAACTGGAGACCAATATAGAAATAGCCCTTGAACAATCCTTTCAAGATGTCATAGAGGGGACTCATCTCCGATACTCTTCTATTGCTGTGAAGAGACATCATGACCACGGCAACTCTTAAAAGAAAATGTTTAATGGGGGCTTGCTTACAGTTTCAGAGGCTTAGTCCATGACCAGAAGTGGACAGGCATGGTGCTAGAGCAGTAGCTGAGAGCTGCATCCTGATCTGCAGGCAGCAGGCAGAAAAACACAGATACTGGGCCTGGTGTGGGTTTTTGAAGCCTGAAAACTCATCCCCAGTGACACACCTCTTCCAACAACGCCACACTTCCTAATCCTTCCCAAACAGTTCCACCAACTGGGACCAAGCATTCAAACATATGAGCCTATGGGGGGCACTCCCATTCAAAGCATCACATTCCCCTCCCAGCCCCGTCCCCCAGGCTTGTAACCATAACATAATATAAAACGCATTTAGTCCAACTTCAAAAGTTCCCATAGTCTATCTCAACACGCTTAAAAGTTCATGTCTCTTCTGAGGAATGAAGGCAAGCTCTTAACTCTAACCCCTGTAAAATCAACATCAAAAAGCAGATCACATACTTTGAACACAAAATGGGACTGAATATACATTGCCATTCCTAAAGGGGACAAGGGAGGATAATGAGGAAATCCTGGACCCAAACCCAGCAGGGCAAACTCCAGATCACACAACTCTCTGCCTGATGTTTGAAGGTTATTAGATGGCTCTTCCCTTCCAGCTTTGCCAACGGCAGCACACTTCTCTCTCTTGGGCTGGTTCCACACCCTGGATGTAGGTATCCCACATCTCTGGCATCTCCAACATCTTGGGGTGTGGTGTCCAAGGCCATCCAGGCTTCACCTTCAAGCTTTACTCATTGGCTTTCTGGGTCTCCATGCCTGGACTCCCCTGCCACATGCCTGGTCTCTTTGGCTTTCCTTAACCTACAGAAGCAATTACTCAGCGAGCTTTTCCACCCCTTGATTGTATCAAGTATTGCCTCTGCTTCTGAAGATGTACTTGAATTCTGCTTGTCAGTCTGAAGTATAGTTTCTGAACAGGCTTGTTTGTATTACTTTTGCTCCTTTAATAATTCTTTAACATCTTGTGCGTGGGCCACTGTTTTGGTACTGCCTTGCTAATGATTATTATAATTATTAATTACCTTTAAAAGTTAGTACACAATAGACCCCATGTCAAGTGCCTCCTCTGTAATGTGCATACAGCTACACATGGATCGCATTGCTGCTTCTGCTTTTCTTATGTGTGTTGTGGTGCTGGCTACCTGCTCAGCAGTGTGATTCTCTTTTTCCTGCCTCCCACTTGCCCTTCATCTGCTGTCTGGCATCATGCTGGGAAGGGCATCTCAGTGCTGATTCAGTTGCACTGGGACAGGATGAGGGCCATGGCGCTGACTTACAGGAAGAGGAGGCAGCCTTCCCCGGTCCTCAGTGCATCAGAACCCGTGACCTGGGAATGCTGGGAATGGGTGGGTAGACTGTGGCTAGGGTGAGTCACAGGTGTACAGTTTAAGAGGGCGCCAGAAAACTCAGTAATCAAATCATATGTCAATGCAACATTTTGAAAAGGTCAAAATCGATGCAAACAAAACCTACGATAACAGAGTATCAAGAAGTTGAACGAGGCAAGGTCAGTGGCTGAATTACCCATGCAGAACTGCTCTGGGACCTGAGACAGAAGGCAGTCAGCACTGCTCATCCTTTCTGTTTGAAAGCTTGCCGTTTGGGGCTGAGTGCGGTGGTGGCGCACGCCTTTAGTCTTCGTACTCTGGAGGCAGAGGCAGGTGGCTCTTTGGAGTTTGAGACCCCCCTGGTTTACATAGTGAGAGCCAGGAGAGCCAGGACTACATAGAGAGAGACCTTGTCTCAAAAAAAAAAAATTCACTTTGATTTTAAAAATTAGATTAAAATATATGTTTGTTTTTGTTGTTGTTGTGAGAAAATGCCTGAGTAAAGCAGCTTGAGAAGAGAAGGGCTTATTTTAGCTTACTAGTTGAGAGGATCTACTTTGGGCTTGGTGTTAGGGGTGTGAGGTGGCGGGTCCTACTGTATCCGTGGTCAGGAAGTCTAGCAGACAGAACCAGGCTGTAGGACCCCAGGGCCTGCCCTGCTGACACCCTTCCTTTGTTCAGGCTCCATCTCCTAAGAGCTCCACAATCTTTCAAAAACAGAGCCGTCAGGTAGAGGCCAATGGCTCAAACAAAAAGCAGGCTCGTTTGGGGATATTTGACATGTGAACCTTAATCTAATACAGTCGCAGTCTTTGGTGGCTTTCTTGATTTCCTACCCTGTGCTTTATCTGAGCTGGCCTTTAGATGGGCCAGCATGGGCAGGAAAAGGTGAGAGCTGAAGACGGTTACCATACTGGCCACTCTAGAAATGTGGTCTTCTTAATTGGGCCTCTGTTTTGGGGAAGGAGAGCAGTGGGTTTGGAAGTCTCCATGTTATTGCTGGTCATGTCTCTACATAGAAACATAGAGCTGTTTGTCCTTGAGACTGTAGAACCCAGGCTGGCTTGGAACTCACAGTCCCCCTGTCTCAGCCTCCTGAGCACTGGGATTGCAGGCCTGTACTGCCCTACCCCATGACCCTGGGTGCTTAAAGCTCATCTCAGTGAGGTGCAGTTTTAAAAAAAGCTACAATTTTCTACCGTGGTTGCCACTTGGGAGGAGGCACAATTAACTTCCATTAGGGAATTTGATTTGCTCCTTTATGGAGATTGTCTGCACAGGGTGCAAATGAGCATACAGTCTTCTCCTGTGGGCTGGTATGCAGGGCTTAAAATCTTTCATCTGTTCTCTGCTAATTTCTTTGTGCAGTATTTTAAAGATGGATATTTTGTTGAGACAAGATCTCCTGTAGCCCAGGCTGGTCTTAAAATTGATCTTAGCTGAAGATGGTCTTGGCTAGTGATTGTCCTGTCTTCTCCTGAGTGCTGGGTTATAGGCATGCCTTGTGTTTCGTGTAAAGGTAGACCATGGTGGAACCCCATTCTTCTGCTCTGTCATAATTATTCTGAGACCGAGACTGAAAGTGAGTGGAAGCTGAGAGACCGGCATGTTTCTCAATACATGTTTTGGCATTCTAAGTCGGTGGTTTTTATTGGCTATCCCGGATTTTTCTTTCATCTTTCTCCAAGGTCACTTCAATATACAGAAAGAAGGTATATGGCTGTGACCTCAGCGACATTGTTCTAGTTGGGACAGTGGAGCAGCTGTAGGGGGATTTAGCTTAGCTCTCACATTTGACATGATTCCTTTTTCCCTTAACCAAGGTCTGCTGAAGACAGAGCCAGTGGCCGAGGAAGGAGAGGATGCGGTCACCATGCTCAGTGCCCCGGAGAACCTGTCAGAGGAGGAGCAAGAAGAGCTGAGACGGGAACTTGCTAAGGTGAGGCTCATTCCTTCTGGCCTTGTGGGCCTTGTTTCCAAAGCTCCTGGTAAGAGGCCCAGGAGAAAGGAAGCACCGTGAGCTCGCATAGCCTGGAGTCTCGCTAGGGCAGAGGAGAGAAAGAGGGACTCCTGTTGCTTTCCAGGTAGACCTGGGAGTCGGGTGCAGCAGGAAGTGGGAAGAGGAAGCACGTGCTGGCCAGCCTCATCCTCGTCTTTCTGTGTTATGATGTAGGCCAGCTTCCTCCCTCCTTCCCTTCTTCTTTGCTGCAGGCATCAGCCTCACTTCCAAAGAGATTCCCAGCTCCCTCTTTCCATAGCTTCCTTCTATAAAACTCGTTTTTTTGTTGTGTTGGGTTTTGTCAAGACAGGGTCTCTCCGTGTAGCCCTAGCTATCCTGGAACTTGCTCTGTAGACTGGGCTGGCCTGGAACACACAGAGATCCACGTGCCTCTGCCTCCCAGGTGCTGGGATTGAAGGTGTGCGCCACCACTGCCTGGCCTATAAGGTTCTTAAAGTGGTCTGTTTCACAGTACACAGTTCAGTGTCATTTAGCACATTCAGTGTCTTGCAACCATCACGTCTTTCAAGTTCTGAAGATTTTTTTCCTGTCCCAAGGAGCCCCTTGTACTCACCAGGAGCCACTCCGCCCCCACCTCTCGGCTGCTTTTTCCTCTGTGGATTTAACTGTCTTGGCTTCCATCAGCCAGTGCACTTAGTATCACGCTCTTGGGGCTCGTCTCTCTTGTGTCCTCTGTCAGTTGTTTGTTCCCTTTTTATGACTAATAACAGTCCACTGTAGTTATCGACCATATTGTGTCTTGTTTTTCATATGTCCGTTGATGGCCAGGTACATTACTGACAACTGTGGATAGTGAACCAGCAACATATATGTACAAATGATCTTTTTGATTCAGTTGTTTTATATATATATGCTTAGCAGTGAGATTTTTCACCATATAGTGATTCTACATTGAATTAAAATTTTTATATACATTTATTTGTGTGTTTGTGTGAGTGTGTGTATGTGTGTGTGTGTGTGTGTGAGTGAGAGAGAGAGAGTGCGTGTGTGTGTGTGTGTGTGTGTGTGTGTGTGTGTGTGTGTGTGCGCACGCGCGCGTGGGCACACACATGGAGGTCAGAGGACAACTTGCAGGAGTAAGTTTTCTCCTTCCACCAAACGGGTTCCAGGGATGGTGCTCAGGCTTGGTGATAAGCCCATGTTTTAACATTTTAAGGGAGTCACCGAACTGTTCCCCACAGCAGTGACATTATTTTACATCCTCATCCTGATTTCTTCCCATTCTTAGTAAAGCATGCTCCTCCCATCCTTTGATTAAAGCTGTATGTGTCAGTGGGTGAGAAATGAGATCCCATGTGGATGTGATTTGGAGTCCTCTAAGGACTGACCCTCTTGTGGGCATTTTGTATATCTTTGGGGAAAATAAGTACTCATTAAGTCCTTTGCCCATTTAAGAAATGGTTTGTTTTTCAAATATAAGAATTATATATATTCTGCACTCTTATCAGATTTGTGGTTTCCAAACATTTTCTCTTATTCTATAACTTACTTTTTCACTTTCTTGCATTAAAAAGAATAATAGGAATTCAGTTTGGAAGACATTTCTTAAGTCATTGTAGAAATTTCAAGCCGAGCGGTGGTGGCGCACACCTTTAATCCCAGCACTCGGCAGCCAGAGGCAGGTGGATCTCTGTGAGTTCGAGGCCAGCCTGGGCTACAGAGTGAGTTCCAGGACAGGCTCCAAAGCTACACAGAGAAACCCTGTCTCAAAAAACAAAACAAAACAAAAAAAACCAAACCAAACAAAAAAAGAAATTTCAGTAGAGATTTGTGTGGGTTGGGAGGAAGCAGGTCTACATATATGCACGTGGAGGCCGAGGACACCCTCCCATGTCATCCATCAGGCACCATCCACTGTTTTAAATTTGTTTTTGACTCAGGGTTTCTCTGTGGCCTGCAACTTGCAAGCCCTGGCATTTTCCATCTCTGCCTCCACAACACTGGGATGACAAGTGTATGTCACCACACTTCTAAACAGAACCAAAACCAAAACCGTGTATTCCAGGGATCCTCATGTTTATGCAGCAGGTGCTTTATCGAGCTATCTCCTCAGCCCAGAATGGAAATATTCATTTACGTATTATCAAATTCACCCTTTGAAGTGGTTTGTTTATATTCCCAGGGTTGTACAACCATCACCATGTGCACTAGAACATTTTCATTAGCTCAGAAAGAAACCCTGCTCCTATTGGCAGTCACTTCCGCCCCCTGCCCCTTCCCCTAGTAACTGCTAGTCTAGTTCCTGTCTATAGATCACCTGCACTGGGCATTTCATGTGGATGTCATTCTCGTCTGTGTTATGTTGTGTGACACTATTCCTCGGGAGATGTAAACAGACATCTTCTCACCTCAGAGAGGGAACCAACAACAGACCAAAGTATGGATACCACCAAAGTCCAACTCAGTGAACCAATGAGTTCTATCGCAGTTATAAAAGAGTATGAATGTGCTGGGTGGTGGTGGTTCACGCCTTTAATCCCAACACTCCAGAGGCAGGCATATCTCTGAGTTCGAGGCTAGCCTGGTCTCTAAATCGAGTTCCAGGACAGCCAGGGCTATTACGCACAAAGAAACCCTGTGTTAAAAAAACCAAAAGATGAGGAGGAGGAGGAGGAGCGGGAGGAGGAGGAGGAGAAGGAGGAGGAGGAGAGGGAGAAGGAGAAAGAGG